CAACGAAATTTTGTTTATATTTTTAAATGCATTAACTTTAATCATTCTTATATTCAAATTCGTTAAAGAGACTTTCGTAGTCGTAGAATGTCATCGTTTATAATAACAAAACAATTTTTTATTTTTTAATAAGATTTATTTTAGAAATGAACACTTAAACAATTTATGTTTTAAATTAAAAAAATATATACAACTGTCAATTATATTTAAAAAACAAAACTTTTTTTCAGTAAATTGTTACTTTATTAAAAATCATTTCGCTAATATAAAACATTTGTTAGGAAGTTTTGATGTAATTAATTTTACTTTTTTAGAATATTTTTTATTTAGCGCATTTCCAAAACGTTTTTTGAATTAGCCGCAGTCAAACCATCATAGCAAAATGTAACTTGCGTGGTCATATAAAGACTTGAAATCGCACGCCTTCCTGTGAAAGCCTGATATATATACATATATATATATATATATATATATATATACAGGCCTGGGCGAAAATAAATGAGCATGAGAGGAGAAAAAAGTTCTCCTAAAAGGAAATTGGTGAGCTGTGCGAGCTACTCCTTATATAAATCAGCGCTCTTTTTGACTTATATTTTTTTTTGCAACAACCCTGCTTTTTAAAAAGCATTGCAGTATAATATGCAATTAGTTTTTTTGTAAATGACATTGTGTTTTTTGTTTTAATTACAACGATAATTATACTTTTGTAAGAAAAGTTATACTTTTGCGAGAGCTGTAAATTGCTCCAGTAAACTGTTTTAGGGAGCAAATATATAACTTCCCTCAGCGGGAAGCAAGAGTTAAAGCTCTCGCTTCTCGCCGACATCTGCATATATATATATATATATATATATATATATATATATATATATATATATATATATATATATATATATATAGCATCCTAGTTAACGACTTTCGGGGACATGTTCTTTTTGCTCCCGTTGTGTTTTTTTTTACTTTTTTATACTATTTTTATTATATTTATATATTTTTTTTAATTTTTATTTTATTTCTATTATTTTGTTATAAAAATATATTTTTATATTAACTTTTGTTATTATTATTTATTTATTATTTATTTATTTTATATTATATTTCATTTTAAACTTTATCTATTCACAATAACGATTAATTACAATAATATAAACAAATTATTTGGATGCACACATACATTACTAAAATGCACAAAAAAGGTACATAATTTCGGCAATTTTACGCCTCGTATGGTAGAGGGGGTCTATCAGAAACTTCATCCAAAATCATACTTTATAGTTTTAATTAAATTTAAAGATTTTGTATTAAAAGATAAAAATTATATTATACAATTATAAATGTGTATTTTATTACAAGAAAAATCTATAAACAATTTATTTATTTTTTATATTATTTTTTTTAGTTATAATACAACTTAAGAAATTACTTATAATATAAGTAATTTAATATTAATAAGTTACTTTTATATATATATATATATATATATATATATATATATATATATATATATATATATATATATATATATATATATCAATATCACATAATATGTGATATATATATATATGTATATATATATATATATATATATATATATATATATATATATATATATATATATATATATATATATATATATATATATATATATATATATATATATATATATATATATATACACTTACTAAAGCGTGTTTTGATAAGCTTTTGCTCACTTTTTCTGCTTACCTTAAGCTTTACCATTTTTTTCGAAAAATAAGAAAAAACGAAGAATTATGAATGAAATGATTGCTTTCCCATCCTAAACCCTCAGTCGATGTAGCAGCACTCCACTGCGAGTCGGACTATATTGTCAGTCGATGTATGTACTGAAGCCCCCAGCAGCAGACTATTTCAGTATGACGTCAGATTGCTTATATTAGTACGCAATACTATTTGTATATATATATATATATATATATATATATATATATATATATATATATATATATATATATAATATATATATATATATATGTATGTATCACATAATATGTGACTTGTATAATATTTGCTTTAGATTATTCACTTATTAATATAAAGCAAATATTAATGATAATAATATAACGATGAATAATATAAAGCAAATATTTTAGAATAATTCAAGAAATAATATCTACTAACTAGTTGTGTTTGATCTTCAATATATACAAAACTAGTTGTGTGCGACCTTGACTTATCAAGTTTTCTTGTTGCAGCAGCAGCAAAATTTTTATTCGCTCTGTTCTTCAATCATAGGTGCTCTTGCTCGCGCAAGTACTTGTATAGTAATAAGATCATCCATATGAGAACTTAATCTCAGCATCCATCGAACTTCCTCAGGGAGCCCAGACACAAAGACACATGCATTTGTTTTATCTGGTAGCCCACCAATCAGCATTGATAATCTTTGCAGTTTCGCCAAATAAACATCAACTGCCTCTTCATGCTTTACCTTTCTCGTAATGAACTGTTTGTAAGTTGTAAATGCATCAACGGCAAAAGCTTTTAGCAACGCCTCTTTTATCTGGTCAAAATCTTCTTTATCACTCTCTGCTAACTGTTGATATACTGCAAATGCACTATTTGTGAAACAGAGGGGAACAACACTAGCCAAATTGGTTATACCCATTAGTTTGCATACTAGTTCAACTTTTTCTAGCCATTCTGCAACTGATTGTTGATCGTTTCCACTAAACTCCGTTACAGTTTATGTCATAAACTGCTTTGTATGTGCATAAACAAATGGATCTGTACAATAAATTATGAATTACCTAATAATTTAAGTTTCATAAATAAAAAATGTAAATGCAACAATGAAATCATATTTAGAAAAATTAATTGTCTAAAGATATTACAAAAAGAAAAACCAGATTGGTAAGATATCTGCAAGAGATAAGAAAATAGGTGAATATTATTGTGTTTCTTGGTTCTTTGTTTATTCAATTTTTGCATTAAGCTATTTTATTTTATTATATATATATACATATATATATATATATATATATATATATATATATATATATATATATATATATATATATATATATATATATATATATATAACATATATTATTATAATTTAAAATAAAATATACACGTTTTAAGTATCAGTGAAATTCTGAATTATTTTAAAAATTTATCTACTAAGCAAATTGATGACTTAAATATGTGAAAGAACTGTTGGGAGAAATCTTTGCCAAGAATAGTATGATACAGATACAGCAATGACAGTCTTGTATAATGGTAGAGTAAAAAAAATTAAAAAAACACAGAAAGGCATTATATATACTATATTTTACTGGACTAGAGATAAAATTGATTTTGAAGCTGTTGATCATTATATGAAAAAATTCCAGTTGTTTGCTGACATTGTATCCGGTGAGTTGATGCTTTCCTAATATGAATATGTTGCCATATGTGGTAATATGTACAGCGAGTAGTGTAACTTGCACAGCAAGTAGTGAAACTTAAAAAAATGTACAGCGAGTAGTGGAACTTGCAACAAAAAAAAATATTGTGAGTAGTGGAACTTGCAAAAAATATATACAGCGAGTATTGGTACTTGCAAAAATATGTACAGCGAGTAGTGGAACTTGTAAAAAAATGTACAGTTAGTAATGGAAATTGCAAAAAAAAATACTGCAAGTAGTGGAATTTGCAAAAAAATGAACAGCCAGTAGTGGAACTTGCAAAAAAATACAGCGGGTAGTGGAACTTGCAAAAAAATGTACAGGGAGTAGCGAAACTTGTATAAAAATGTATAGTGAGTAATGGAACTTGCAAAAAAAACATACTGCAAGTAGTGGAACTTGCAAAAAAAAAAATGTACAGTGAGTAGGGGAACTTACAAAAAAAATATATACATATACAGTGAGTAGTGGAACTTGTAAAAAATGTACAACAAGTAGTGGAACTTGTAAAAAAATTTAGAGCCAGTAGTGGAACTTGCATAAAAATGTACAGTGAGTAGTGGAACTTGCATTTTTTGAATAGATTGTTATTATTGTTATCAATGATTAATATATAATTTCATTAATGGAATTTAATATCTTATAATTAACTACAATCAAAGATGCAAGCTAAATAGAATAATATTATAAAACTTTTTTGTTTTATAATTTTTATCAGGTCGGAGGGGAAACCATCTCTAACTATGACAAAACGTTGTCTGATGTATCTTGAATTTTAGTAAAAAATATTTTTAAATTAAAATATATTATTTTAATTAATAGCATTTTAAATAATTTTTTAAAACTCATTAAAAATTGAATTTTTTCTTTAGTTGTAAAGGAGGGGGGGGGGGCAACAGGGCCCCTCCCCCACCTACACCAATTAAAACAATGGGTGTGCTGCTAGTGATGTTGTAAAGTTGTATATTATAATTTTTGAATACTAGATTTCATTTTAATTACAAAGATAAATGGCGGAGGTGTATTTGATTCACGGGGTTAGGGGAGGGTAGCATTTCTTAGTTAATTTCTTTTAAAAAACGGCTAAAATAAATCATCGTTTTAATCTCACGTGAATCAAATACACCTCCGCCAGATAAATATTTATAAAAAAAAAGTCATTTTTGATAATAGGGTATAATAGGTATATATATATATATATATATATATATATATATATATATATATATATATATATATATATATATATATATATATATATATATATATATATATATATATATATATATATATATATATATATATATATATATATATATATATATATATATATATATATATATATATATATATATATATATATATATATATATATATATATATATATATATATATATATATATATATATATATATATATATATATATATATATGTATATAGTCTTGCATGGTGGTTATATATATATATAGTCTTGCATGGTGGTTATATATATATAGTCTTGCATGGTTTTATCCATAAACTGTAATTTTAAGGAGAAGGCTAATAACCCGTACCAGAAAAAATTTACAAACCTGAATAAAGTTTTCTTTACAAAAAGATAAACTGCTTGCCTAAACCAAACCCCTAGTCAATGTAACAATACTTCCTTGTAGCAACCGACTATAAAATAGGCAGGCTTGGTTAGGAAAGCGTGCGATCGCATGCTATTATATGATCACGCAAATAATACTTTATTTTGACGATTTGACCACGGTTTTTAACATTTTGAAAAAGCGCTAAAAAATATTATTTTTAACTAGCTGGTATGACCCGTACAATACAGGTCGTCCCAAGTCTAATCCACACCCGACAATTACTAACTTGTTCCTTAGTCTTTATACTTTATTTTATTTAGTAAACGGCAAAAAATAAACCAATTTAAAGTTATGGTAGATGGTAAAATACAAATTTTAGTTGCAATTACAATTAAAGTTCGCATTTTACCACTTACTAGATGGTAAAATGTGAACTCTTAAGAAAGTTAAATCGAACTTTAATTGCTCGTTAAATTAAAATTAATTTAAAAGAAAAGTCTAGTTTAAATAAATTATATCGAATACCAATATATTTAATTTAAAAAATCGATGAGGAAATGAAAATTTAAAATCATGACTGTTGTGGTCATTAAAATGTTTTGGTTCGCTAAAAAGTACACAATTTGCATTTTATGACTACCTACAGTTCTTGATTTCTAATTTACTGTTCTTTAGAACTAATTAGTATTTTTACTTATTACATTATTACTTATTTACTCTAATATTTTCTAAATAATAAAAGTATCTTTAGCATTTAACACAGTTGCGTGAAACTTAGTATAAACTTAATATTTTAATTATCTCATAAGGATTTATTTAAGCATAATTGGACATTAAAAAATGGACCTCAGAGACCCAGTTATTTCAAATAAGTTAGCTTTATCTGTTTGATATATAAAAGCCTTCCCAGTAGGCATAGACGTAAAAAAGACGTTTAAAATGTCTTGTACACGTTTTTTTTAGGTGCAGTGCCCACTGGGTTTCTGTAAAAAATCTCTTAAATTATTTATATAATTATAAAAAATTTATATAATTGTTGAAATATATTAACAATTATACTGTTCTTATTGCGGAATTGGCTGTGGTGACCCGTACGATACGGGTCGTGGCAACTCTATTCCACATCCTATTTCCAAACCTGTTCTTAGTTAGGTCTCTAGACTTTAAGTAAACAGCAAAAAATAAGTCGATTTGAAGTTATTGGTAAACAATTGACTTAATATACTTTAGAAATCTAATGTACTCCAATATTTTATACATAAAAGGATCTTTAACATAATAGAGACAGTTGCGTAACAATTCTTCAGGTGTTTTTGAAAACTTAAGCTATAATCAAGATTTTACCCTCTCATCAAGATTTATTTAAAAAACAAATTTGGACATTAGAAAACGGTCCTAAAGACTTGTTATTTTAAATAAGTTAGCTTTATCCGTTTGATACATTTTATAAACTAGTTGCTGTAAAAAACAAAACTGTTAACTAATTCATTCAATTAAGCTGTTTTTACATCCGAAGTTATTAAACATGTATTTTGTGCTAATCGATACTTAATGCAAATGGAAACTTCGAGTACAAAATACGATTTTCAGTATAAATGGTTCTTATTCATATATATAAAAAGCAACAAAAATAAAAAAAACAATGCAAAAATGATCAATATATCCATTTGAAACAATATATCCAAAAATAAAAAAATATATAGATATTTACTTAAGAAACAAAAAACATATTTTTCTAGAGATAAAATAAAAATATAAACTTAAAAAAAAATTACAAAAAAAATATATTTAAAAAAAAAGTAACAAAAATACTTAAAAAACAATTTCGACTGAAACATTGTTTTATTATTATTAGGCGTTAGGTAAGCCATAATCAAGTCAGCCATAAGAAGTTTGACCTAAAAATGGAACAAAATTATTTTAAACATAATACACATTAATTACAAGCTAACGTGTCATGCAATCAATTAATTTCTTTGAAGACTCAAAAATGCGAATAAGTGGATAAGAAACTTACTTTTTATTTTTCCATAACCCTGACAGATCAACATGAATATGAGTGAAGCCTATTAGCATATAACATCACAACAATTAATTAAATAACAGAACATGTTAAAGTAAACTCTAGATAACCCACACCTTTAAAGGACAAAGAAATTAGTTTAGTTTAATGAAAATTAGAGTTATTGGGAGTATAATATATAAAAAAAAGCTTAAGTGAAATTTCAAAATTAGTTTATATTTATATAATAGAATTCCTCTTCTTCGGCCCGAACTCTCATATTTTCTGTTAATGAAAATCGCTGAACATATTGCCCATGTTAAGAACATTTTATACAGGCTTTAACAATATCTGCTGGTTACCCTCTCTTTACAACCGGAAGTTCTTTCAGTCTTCAACATTTATGTGCCCTTGATATTTTTTAGAAAGCCATGGGTTATGAGGTACAACCCAACGGTTATCAACTTGATAGCTTTTTATATTGACAGTTCTTCCGTTATTGACACATCTATGGCGTGGATAACCATTAAAAATTGCAACAGTGTGGGGAATAAACTATTTAGGAAATTTTTTGGTGCATTTTCTATCTTTCATGCAGGGAGAATTGGGATTTAAAATTCCACATGGTCCATGTATCATGCATGATTTTATAATTTCGTGAAGTTCAAGATCAACAGCTGGGTCTCAAAATTCTTCTGATATCAAACTGTCAATATCTTCTGCTGTTTCTAACTTATCTGCATTTACAAAGTGCAATAAAATATGTACATGTGGCAAACCACGCTTTTGAAACTCAATAACCTGCACACGACTTACAACTTTGCCTAAAACTCCATGCTTGAAAATATCTTCTAAGAAAAATTTAAGTTTCATTTTAAATACCTGTCATTAGTAGTTTAGCCAGGGTTTAAATTTTCTACTATTTTTCTCCATTTTGGATTGCAGGTAAAAGTAATGAATAGATCTGGTTTACCATATTTCTTTATGACTGCCATCGCATCTTCAAAGTATTCTTTTAGTGCTCTTGGACTACCAACATACAAAGATGGCAATATAACATTGCGGTCTGGTCTTACATTAAAATCATTAGCACAGTTAATTACATGTTCATGAAATGCGTCATATTGTTCACTTCTAAGTTTGTTTTGGTTATTTCTAATAAAAGCAAGGCGTTGTACCTCAACTTTGACATATGCATCAACAACGTATTGCTGAAGAAGTTTCTTACCATAAAATATAGGACTAAAAGTTTGTCTAACCGCAAGCCTATAACTATAATAGAGACAAAGTAACATGGTTTCTAACACAGGTTGTGCGGTCAGGTTGTGCTCCAGTTAATTGTGCCATCCAGCATCACCTCTCGGGAAAAATATTGGATATACCATAGGATCTAAATTTGCAGACAAAGACAAAATTGTTTTTAAATGCTGACCTCAAGGGTATATAACAACTTCCCTGGATGCAGGTCGAGCACCATTATCTCCCACAAACACAATAGCGACCTCCTCATGGGAAGGAAGATTACATCAACGTCTATCATGACCTTCAAGCAAAGTCATTCATACAACAAAAATTGGTCTACCTTCTAAAGTTGCTCAGCGAATTTCTTCATCCTCTACTTCTGCCATGTTTTTAAATGCAAGAGCAAATGGGTTTTCTTGATAAATTAATGTTTGCAAAAGTTCCATTAACTCACGTATACAACCATCATTACCAGGTTGCTCCATTCTGAACGATTCTGAATGACACTGCTGCATTAGGATCATAAATATATAACTAATAATATTTTGGAAAATTCTGCAGGCCTCAAATTTCCAACACGATGCTAAAGTTTGCCCACAGACCCAAAACAGAAAGGGCCATTATTTGAGGGAGGAGCTAATTCAGCAGTGAAGGAAGCAAAAGATAAAGAGGAATTATAACTCCTTATGTGTTTAAAATAATTTTGATTTACAGCATGATCAACATGGTTTCCTGTCATTAAATCAGTCAAAAATGGTGGATATAGAGAAAGAGGAGCAAATACAACTTTTCCTGAATGACAGCACAAAAAATTAGTTTCATTTAAAAATTTCTTTGCACTACAATATTGACATTTATGGTTAAATTCTCCGAGGTAATTACTCTCTGTTGCATTATTATTTCTTGCTATGCGATGCATATTATACCTATTGAGTTCTTTTTGATGAAGTCTAATAATTTCATTTCTTAAATTATCAGTCATAATAATGCATCAAAGGTGGGTAAAAATGATGCTTAATATAATAAAAAGTTGAGTTTTCTTTTTTAAACTAATCTAAAACAAAGTGTAAGCAAATAATATAGAGCATAATATAATAATCTTCTATATTATACCATATATAGCAATGTGTTAAGATAACATACTTTTATTATAAGGTTAAACTAAAGTTATAAATAAAATGATATAATCTTTTAAACTGAGTGTGGTTACATGTTTAAGTTAGTTGTTATTAATTATTGACAAAATATTATTAGTATTTAATCAAAAAACAAAAGTAAAGTAATTTAAAAGGCAAATTTTTTACATTTAAGAACTCATAAAGCAAACTAAAATTAATAAGGCCTGTCTCTCAGCAAGTACTATAAAGATAAAATGTAATCTATAAGTAATAAAACTATAAGGATAAAATGTAATCATTCATCCTGAAAACCCTTTTATTACTTTGAAACGCATTCAATGCAAGATTTGCAATAAATAAGTAAATACAAAACTAATAAAAGAAAACCTCTGTAAACAATCATATATTTGCTTTAAGTGGAGAAACTTGAAAATAACTTATAAAACTAAATAAACTTGAAACTTGTTTAATTATTTTAATTTTTTTCAGATATCTAATATTCTAAAGAAAAAATGTCAATAATATATATTCTATACATATAATATATGTATAGACACTTTAGTTTAATATATTTTATTGTATATGTGTATGTGTGTGTGTATATATATATATATATATATATATATATATATATATATATATATATATATATATATATATATATATATATATATATATATATATATATATATATATATCTTTTAAACAAATTTACTCAAAAAGTAACAGTATAAAAATTATTTAATGAAGTATAATATCTGTTCAATAAAAGTTAC